GCTGGTGGAGGTGTACCCCAGCATGACCTCACCCTTCCCTCTTGGTGTTTCAGACGGTCAGCTTCTCCCTGTCCAGGGTTTTTAGGGGTGGGAGGGGTTGGAGTAGACACTGTTCACAAGGGATGGAGGACAAGAGGACTGTCTACAGGGGTCATGGAAGGCTTCTACTCCAGGCACCAACTTGTGTCCTAAAACATCTAAAATCAAAGTAGACCTTACCCTTAAAAAATCAGTTTCCTCAAGGATTACTAAACCTGGGCCTCTCTCTCTCTCTTTTTTTTTTTTTTTTTTTTTTTGGTTTTCAGAGCTAGGATCTTGCTGTGTAACCCTCACTGGCCTCAAACTCCTCAGCTTTTTGAGTGTTGGAGTCACAGGCAAGCACCACCATTCCTAGCTCCTGGCCTGAGTTTTATCAGACTAAAGGAATCCTTGCCTCAGCTCAGGATTATATATAGTTTTCTTTCACTGACAGGGAACAGAGAACACAACTGATCACCTGAATTTCTCAGAGAAGCAAGATATTTGATACGGCCACACAGGCACAGTGCCTGCTGTGCACGAGCCGCTCAATAAAGCTGACCTTACTGTGGCAGCAGGTAAGGGGGTAAGGCAGGGTTCCTTTCTCTCTCAACCTGCCTGGTCTGAGCTTCACAGTGGGATGCTAGATTGAGGACTCATCCTATTTGGGCTTAGCTACAGCTCAGCGCTTCTACCTTGCTTGACAAATCAAGGACCCCAGTGAAGCTCAGGTAGGGTGGTGCCCCCAAAGAAAAGCAACGCCAGCTCCAGTGTGGAGGGACTGTATCATGGCTGGTGGGAGGGGGGAGGTGGGGGGATGTAGGTAGAGGGGAACTCCTGACAGTGGATTCCTGAGGCTGGCCCTCTGTTCAGAGTGTTTTTCCCAGAGACGTTCATAGCAAGGCCCATCCTACCTCGCTTCCCTTCCTTCCTAGGAGGGGAATTCTTGACTCATCCCTTGATCTAGCCCCTGGGACATTCCAGACTTGAGGCAGGAAGTCAGCCAATAGCCACAACCCACCAAGAGCTTGCACACGATTTGCTGGCCTTGTCTTTGAGAAGCTTCCTGTGGAATTGGCCACCTCCCCTGGCCTCCATCAGAACACCCACACCTGGATTTTGCAGGGGTCTCCATGGTCTCCCTGCTTCTTCTGTGTCCATCCTTCATTCCACAGCCTCCCTGCCACCCCTGGAACGGGGACTACCTAAAAACTTTCTGTTGTAACCAGCTTGACATTTTTTTCCCCTTTCTCTCTCTCTCTCAAGCTGGGAAGCTCAAGATTAACACTCTTTCAACCCAAACAGGCAGCCCTCCCCTCCTCTGTCTCTCTCTGACTACAGAAAGAGTAAACCTCTGTCAAACAAGACACCACTTCAGAGATGTGGCGCCAGTAAGCCAGGAGATAAGAAGAGCCAAGTCCACCAGCTGGTCTTGGGGCATGCCCCCCATCACGTAGCCCGGAGCTGAGCTCATAAGCCGAACCTTAAAAGCCAGACATTTTTCTCTCAGGGGCAAGACAACAGAAAGTCCTCATTTTGCCCAGCAAAATAATAAACCTTATTTCTTTTTCCGCAAAACCCCACTCACATTATTTGTCAATTGGCATTGAGTCCAAGGATTGAACTTTTGGTGACACCCCAACTCCCAACACCACAGCTCGTTCTCATCATAGCAACCAGTCCAAGCCTGTTCCAACCAGGCTGTCAGATCTACCTTCTCTGCCTGTCCTCTGCCCTCAGGTCTCACTGTTCCAGGAGCACCAGGCCACTCCTGCATCAAGGCCCTTACACCAGCTGTTCCCTATGTCCTAAAGAAACACAAGACACCCCCACGGGTCATTCTCTCATCCTTAATATCACCATCTTGGAGAGCCTCCCCTCCCTGGTCTCTGACTCCCTCTCACGTGCTTCCTGTTTTCTGACAGGGCCCGCTTACCATGTTCTGCTTCATGATGTGATCTGTATTGCTTTAGGTCTACCTCTTGTCACTGTAACGTTTGTCACTATAATGTAAGCTTCCCAAGGACAACACTTGTCTATTTTGTTTGCTGGTTTATTCCTACCATCAAGTCATAGGTGCTTCCTAAATATTTGCAGACTGAATGAATGACCACCTCTAGCTTCCCAGTTAGTCTGAGCAGGCTCAGCACTCTTGGAGCTTCCCTAGCTCCCAACCCCCATGGTTCCCATTCAGTAGTTGGAATCTCACATTGAGCACTCGGTCCCAATGCCCACTAGCTTTTGCTCTGGTCCCTGCCTGTACCCCTTTTGTCTATACCACTCCCTTCCCTGCCCAGGTCCCTGCTCTACCCTGGAGGATTCCCAAATGCAGCCAGAGCAGCTCCCCCTCTCCTCCTGCTTCTCAGGAGGTGCTGTACCACTTCTTCTGTCTGCATCAAAGCCCAACTGGAGGTTGTCCCCCATGTTAAATAAAATCAATTTTATAGGGAACTACTGCAACGGGGGAAAGAGACCTCAGCGTAGGGCGGCTCAACTCTGAACCCAGCACAACACACAGGCATTTATATCCAGGTGCAAGCTGGGGCTCGGTGCTGGAGAGCTGCTGAGAGGAGCCTCAGGGGTGAGGAAGGCTTCTGGTCAAACAACTCAACAGGACCCTTCCTGCAGACTCCTCGGGCCAGGGAGAGCAGACACCAAGGGTGGGGGTTCTTGCTGACTGACCTGGGCAATGATGCAGGCCTGATGAAAGCCCAAGGTCAAAACTGAGCTGAAAGAGGGCTTAGAGGGGCCTGACTCAAGTTTGGTCCTGCAGTCTTTGTCCTCTGAGCAGCAGAGTCTTTGCTGCATGGACAGTGTTTGCCCCAGCTTGCTCTGGCTTCCAGGGCCCAACCCTATCCTTCCGCACCATTGAGAGCATCAGGCCCAGAACAAGCTGGGGCCAGGGAATCCTGCCTCCTGAGGACCTGGCTATCCCAAGTGAACCCTGCCTGTGAACTCTGCACACGCCCTCCAGAAAGCACCATGAATAACAGGGATGGTGCAGAGCGGGACTGACCCCTAAAGAACCAGATGCCCTGCAGTTTCCTGAGGACTTGCAAAGCACCCCCTCCCAGAGAGCCCTGACAGCTCCATGTGCCCACACACAGAATCCCAAGGGCTGCCCTCAGCTCAACCCTGGCTTACAGAGCATGGCCTGAGACTGCCCTACCCACAGATTTTGCAAGAGGAATGGAAGGCTTAAACTCAGCAAGCTTAACCACTCCCCTTTTTTACTTAAGAAAGAAATGGGTTAAGAATTCAAGACGCCCATGGGGCATGGGGGTGCATGCCTGTTTCTTTCATTTTCTTTTTTTTTTTTGGTGGTACTGGGGTTTGAACTCAGAGCCTAGCACTTGCTAGGCAGGCACTCTACCACTTGAGCCCCTCCACCAGCCCTGGTGCCTGTAATCCCAGCTCTCAGTAGGCTGAGGCAGGAGGATCTCAAGTTCAAGGCCAACCTGGGCTACATAACAAAACGTTCTCTCAAAAAAAAAAACTTCAAGACTCCTCGTCTAGCTGGGCTCCAGGGGCTCACACCTATAATCTAGCTACTCTGAGGGCAGAGATCAGGAGGATCACGGTTCAAAGCCAGCCTGGGCAAATAGTTCACAAGACCAGTATCCAACACATTAAAAAAGGTGGGGGGGGGGGGCGGGACTGGCAGAGTGGCTCAAGTGGTAGAGTGCCTGCCTGGCAAGCACTAATTAATTAATTTAATTAATTAATTAACTAATTGATTAAAAACCTAACTTCTTCAATAAATGGTTCAAGTACAATTCATCCAAATGCAAGAAGAAAAACAAAACTTCAACCATAATTACAGAATCTCATACCATATATAAAAATTAATTCCAAATGGATCACAGACCCAAACGTAAGAGCTAAAACTACAAACCTAGCAGAAACATGGGAGAAAATATGTGAGGTGGTACTAGGCTGGATTTTCTAAAGACGTCCCCTCCCTAATGCCTAGAACCTGTGGATATGTTGTTACAGGACAAAAGGGAGTTTGCAGATGAAATTAAAGTTACCTCCAAATAAGGAGAGGAGCCTGGATTAGCCAGGTGAGCCCAATGAAAACAGAAAACTTTCTCCAGCTGTAGCAGACAAGAGAATGATTGTGAGTGTTTTGCTGGTGAGAGGGAGGAACCCAAGTTCAAGAATCAGAGAGGTCTTTCGGAGCCAATGCAGCCCTCAGCTGGCACCTGCAAGAACATAGGAACCTCAGTCGTGTGGCCTCAAGGAACTGGGTTCTGCCTACACCTGGGAGAGCCTGGAAGCTGTTCTTCTAGAGCCCAATAACACACATAAAACTTTCTGGGATCCTGAACAGTTAGCTCTGTATTTGCAGGCAGTACTGAAAGGCAGAGTTTGTTTGTAGCAAACATAACCCATCCATTGTCTTTCTTTACACTGAGGTTGGGAGGAAAATGGTCCTTGAAATAACTTTGCCTTCCAATATCCATTCTTCCTTCCTTTCTTAGTATTAAGAACACCAATTTTTCCAGGGATTACAGCTGATTCCTATAATCCCAGCTATTCAGGAGGCAGAGATCAGGAGGATCCTGGTTCGAAGCCAGCCAGGGCAAATAGTTCTCAAGCCCCTATCTCAAAAAAACCCATCACAAAAAAGGGCTGGCAGAGTGGCTCAAGTACTAGAGTACCTGCCTAGCAACCATGAGGCCCTGAGTTCAAATCCCAGTACCACAAAACAAAAAAAAAAGGGGGAGGAAGGGAGGAATGAATAAAGGAAAACACTAACCTGGGTTTAGAATTAAAGACACTGAAATGATTTCCCTGAGACCAGCTCAGTGTGTGCACAGTAGAAAAGTTTGGAGGCCAAACAAATAAATTTGATTCCCTCAGCGTACTTTCAAAATCCAATCCAGGCACAGTTTGGGGTGAGTAAAGGCAGGTCGTTGACCCTAGCAGGTGTGCACATTAGGACTGGAGTTACTCATTCCAAATGGCTGAGTTTTTGTTTAAACCGGCCCTCTGCTGCTCATCCTGTGACCTCTACCACGGCCGCGCATCCAGCCCTGGAATCTGTGCCGCAGCTCTCTGTTCTGGAGCCCATAGACCAATGGGTTAAAACACTGGGCAAACGCAAAAATGCTAAAAAGCACCAAATTTAGAGCAAAGAAAAACACCCCGCACATCTTTCCCAAGCCTATGATTATCAGGGTAGGCACCACATGTAAACTGATCTGCACTAAATGAATGAGGACTGTTTTCCTTGCTTTGATGTTGGAACTATTGAAGCGACCGGCATGATTCCCTTCCCAGTAGATCAGAGAGTAACTTAGCAGAATGACAGACAAAAGAAGGAAAAGGAAAAGCATCCCAATGACTCTGGCAGGAATACCGTTCAAGACCACTGGGCAAAGGGGTGTAGATTTAAACACAGCAGCCAGAGAGGGGTGAGTGCCCTCAATGAGGAACAAGCAAATGTTCTTGAGTAGGATGGTGGTCCAAGTCCCAGCCAGAATCCTATATTTAACCAAGTCTACAAAAGACAGAGACTTCAGTGGCCAGCAGATTGCCAGGTAGGTGTTGAGAGCCATCAATGCCAGAGTGAAAAGAATCCCTTCTCCAGCACTCAGCTGCACCCCAAACACCAGCCAGCACAGCAGCAGGGGGCTGTTGACCAGCAAGGCTCACATTCCTTGGAACATGACCCCCAGGCCACAGTAGAAGGAGATGCACAGGAGATGATGGCAAAGGAATATGAATCGGGCCTCTTTCCTTAGTTTCAAATTCTGGGACACTATTGTGATGACGACCACAGTGACGAATGTGGCGAAGGAGAAAATGACCACATAGACAGAGGCCTTCACTGTTGCCTCCAGCCTCAGCAGGTCTGAGATGTTGCAGTGCTCCGAAGACAAGTTCATTGCCCTTCAGGGTTGGCTTGGTTCCTGGAAGAGAAAAGGAGGAGACTGAATGAATCCTTGCTTCCTGTGTGGTTTCCAGCTCTCTGGCCTTGTGCAGTCTCGAGGAATAGACTGCATGTTCTTTGGGACAGGGAATGACAATTTTAAACAGTATTGACTGGGATCAAACAAACTAGAGACATCATCTAGGGTCTTCTCTGTATCCAGGGGAGGGCGTCTATGCAAGTGTAACAGAAGAAAGGGTGGGAAAGATGTGTTCTCTGTACTCAGCAAATCACTCAGATCCAGGTCAAGGTCTAATGCTTACACATCTTTTTCTATCCCTGGGTAGGAGAACTTTTCCCATCAAGAGCAGAAAAGCACAGCATCATAAAATCAAATGATTAACTGTGCAGCACTCGGTTAGCAGAGTGCATGCAAAGGTCTGGGAAGAAGTCAGGGCAAGAGCTTGAGGAAGGTGGGGAAGGCATTGATTCAGAGCCTTAAGTTCATCTAGGTCCAGAGGCTGAAAGGGAGTAGCAGTAATGATGGCACTCCTGGGTGACATTTACTGGATGCTTTTTATGGATAAAAACTATTCTGAGAGCATACTGCTCACTGTCCCTAGGTATGTTTTATTTCTCACCATGTCTCATCACAAATGGGAAAACCAAGACTCAGAAGGGCTAAGTGCTATAGTTTCAGTCTTGCATGTCCCCCTAAGGCCCATTTATTAAAGACTGTCCCCAGGATGGCACTATTGGAAGGTGGTAGAACCTTTAAGAGGTGAAGCCTAAGCTAGGCACTGGTGGCTCACATCTGTAATCCTAGCTACTCAGGAGGCGGGAATCAGGAAGATCACAATTTGAAGCCAGATGGGGTAAATAGCTCTCAAGACCCTATCTCAAAAAAAAAAAAAAAAACCATCACAAAAAGGACTGCAAGTGGTACTGCTGGAGTGGTTCCAGTGGTACCAGCTCAAGCTGGTAGGCTCAAGTAACTACCTACCAAACACAGGGCCCTGAGTTCAAACCCCAGTACTGCCCCCCTAAAAAAAAAAAAGAGGTGATACCTAGTGGGAAGTTTTTAGGTCATTGGGGGCCTGCTCTTGAAAGGAATTGTGGAACCCTGGGCCACCTCCTCACTCTCTTTTGCTCCCTGGCCATGAGGCAAGTGGTTTTGCTCTGCCACACACTCTTTCCATGATATACTGCCTTGTCGCAAGCTCGAAAACAACAGGGCCAACAGTCATTGGCTAGAATCTCTAAAACTGTGAGCCAACATCAACTTTTTCTCTTGATAAGTTGGCTGGCTCAGGTATTCGTTATAGTTACAGAAAGCTGACTGACACATTAAGCCACTTCTTGCTCAAAGCTTATGATTGTTGCCTAGTGGAGCCCCATTCCAGAACCTACCCTCTCAACCATTAACAAGGAAGCCTATGTCAAATGCAAGGCCAAATGAGTGCATGCCCTGAGTCATTCCTTAACCAGTGGCATTTGAGCAGCTCACTGGACTCCACTGGCAGGAATGTGTATTGTATTGTTAAGAAGCCGGTCAGCTACAAATCTGGGAAAATTTGGGATGACAAGATCACTGCGAGAATGTGACCACCAAGATGAAAAGATGTACATGGTGGTCCCATGAGACTTCTCAAATATGCACAGACACCAGCTGTTGCCTGCCCACCTGTACCCCTGCTAAGGGACGTATCTTCTGCTGCTGTCTGCCTTGCTCATTCCCACAATCCATAGCATCACGTCCTCTCCTATCAAAGCTGATTGACATCTGCCTCATGGGAAATCATTCTGTAGACTGTGCTGGGGGTGTAGCTCAAGTGGTAGAGTGTTTGCCCAGCAGATGCAAGACCCTGGGTTCAATCCCCAGTACCACAAAAATCTGACCCAAGACACACAAAGAATGTGAGTGTGGTGTTGTGTAACTGGCCTGCCAGTAGGGTATGAGTGAGGAGAAGACAGAGACAGGGAGAGGAAGGACAGAAGCAGAGATAAAGGAGAACATGAGGTCACTGAGAGGCCAGGAAAGCTCGTGTAAGACAAAGAAAGCCAACAACCTTCACTCCTGAATTTCTGGTACCACTGAGATGCCCCCATTTTCTGCCCATTAGGAAAGGACACATCACATTGGAGGTGCCACTATTCCAACTTCCTGAGTACCTAACTGTCAGAGCGCCTTATGGAATCCCGCCATCTGGGCACAGTTCTTATTTCCTGGGTGTTGTGTTCTCACCCTTTGTGGAGAACTTTTCTTGTTCTGATGGATTTTTGGTGCCAGATCATCCTTTTGAACTCCAAGCATGTATCTTTCTCTGTTCTCCCAGTCTACAGAGATCACTGTTGTTGTCGGAATCATTAATCATTAAGCTTTCTTTTAATGACAGATTTCACAATCAAAATCTTACACAAGGAGCCTTTACTATTAAACAGAAGAATCCACATCTGCCCTTTATCAAAAGCTTTCTCTTTGGCCAGGCATAGTGGTGCACATCTGTAATCCCAGCACTCAGAGGCTGAGGCAGAACTGAGAGTTTGAGGCCAGGCTGAGGACTCTGCCTCAAAAAAAAAGCATCCTCCTAATTGCTCCCAGAGGACCCCAACAACTGTGCTTAGGGCACCACCACTGGAACTGAGGGTAAGTTATGGCAAGTACCTACCCCCGGAGTGGGGAACGCTGGGAACCAGTCCTTATGCTAGATCTTCTGCTAACTCGGACTGTGACCTTGGGTATTAAAGACACTTTGTGTCTCTGGCCTCTTCCTTACAGCACAGTGTGCAACACAGGCTCCACATTCTTTCTGTATCACAGTCACCCTCATGCTCATCCTCGAGGGCCAGCTCAGAACTTGGGTCCACCTTATTCCTGGGAACAAGACTGCCCCACCTCCACTCCAGATCCTCTTGTGTTATTTTGCTGTACCTGGGCCTTGTCTTGCTGATCTGGACAGACCCCCATCTCTCTAGGACAGAGCCAGCCTTGTCCTGCCAGACCCTCACCCAAACCTGACACACAACCTCTGAGCCCCAAACTCAGTCAGGGAGGTTGCTTCTGGTGCAGTCCACAACGGTGAAGGCCTCCCTGTCAGCTGATTCCGTGTCATCCACTGAGCAGTAAGTTGTGGTTTGTAGTGAAAGTTTTACCACCTTGTACCCTGGTTTCCAGGTTTGGTTAACTGATGAGTGACATTCTATGTTATTTATATATTTATTTTGTGTGGGCCTGGGATTTGAACTCAGGGCTTCATGCTTGCAGATCAGACAAGCACACCTTTAGTCAATTTTGCTCTGGTGTTCTTTGCTGACAGAGTCTCCACAAGCTATTTGCCTGGGGCTGGCCTTGAACAGAGATCCTTTTGATCTCAGCCTGCCAAGTAGCTAGGATTACAGGTGTGAGCCACCAGCATCCAGCTCTCTCTTCTGCTATTCTGTCTTGCTTGTTCTGTCCAGAATCCCAGTCGCTGTCTGAGGCATCCCTGCAGGACTCCTCACTCCCGCTCAGCAGGCTTCCTGCGCCCACATACATCTGCTGTGTTCCACAGATCTGCCGCCAGCCCCATCCAGACTTTTACTAGCTGTGCGCCAAGGCTCAGAATCCTACTTGCTGTGACTGTCATATGCTCCCTTTCAAATGAATTCTAAAAGCCATTTTCCCCCTGGATGACTGTAGATGAACCCCTCTGCATCTGAAACAGTTTCAGGAAACTCTTCTGAGGCCAAGCAGGTCCTAGTTTCTTTGCTTTTCTACTTCTTTAGGGGGTTGGTTTTGTTTGGTTTGGTTGGCAGTATCTGGTTTTGAACTCAGGACCTTGCATTTTGCTAGGCAGGTAGCTCTACCATGCCACACCACCAAGCCCATCTCCTTATTGTTTTAATGTTTAGCGTATTAATCAACATGACACCTTATTTTGGCACTGTTCTCAACCAACTTTTATCTAGCATGGAGACAAACAATGCGTAACTGTACGTGAGCGGTGAGGTTATTGTCTAGTGACTTAATTAAACTATAATCACTAGGGCTGGAGGTATGTTTCAAACAGAAAGCACTTGCCTAGAAAGTGACAGGCCCTGAGTTCAAACCTCAGTACTGCCAAATAATAATAAACACTAGAAACATCATGTCTGAATGAGTGAGGAAGCCAGGTGTGCTAAGGGAGGGTTATGCAGAAGTACAAGCAATCATTGGTCAGCTGTAGTCAGAGAAGGCTTCATGGAGGAAGTGATTCTTGAAGCTGGTCTTTTAAAGAAGAAAACTAGGGCAGAGCAGGGCAGGGATGAGGTGCAGAAAGAAGAAGGATGAAGATTCTAAGTAAACAAAAGCTTGTTTAGAGCATTCGGTTCCAGACTTGGAGAGCCTTCGACTATTCCAGAGTTGAAAACCATTTTGCAAGCAAGAAGGAGTCTGGCATGATGAAAATTAGGAGTAGTGCATGCACGAGATGAAGAACCAAGGAGAGATGGCGCCATCCTCCTGCCCTGTCTGCACAGCATGCAGCCTGCCAGGGGACCTGCGCCTGCCAGGCGAGGACATCACTGCCAGAGCAAGTGGCTTGGAAATGGGAAATCTCCAGGGTGGTGGTGGGAGGGGCAGGTGCGGACATGTGCAAAATCAATGAAGACTGCTTCTACTGCCTTTAATCTGTTGAAAAGACTTTGGGATGAACACCTACTCTCCCTAAATCATGCATCCAGAAAGAATCTCATCCCAAATTCACCTTCCTTCTCAGAGGTAGATTTGCATATCAGGAGTTCCTGGCAACCAAACCCATCAAATTGCCCATCTCTACTATTTACTCCACTTATACTCAGAGCCTTGTTTGTCTTCCCAAACTCTGAAATGAGGAACTCCTGCTTCCTTCTAGCTCTAAAACACTACTCTGCTTCAGTTTTGCAATAAGGCCCTGCAGCCAAGGGACCTCAGCAAAACCTTCCATTACAGCTACAGAGGCTCGAGAACACCAGACCCACCCTCCCACTCTGCAACAGGCCTGTGGGAGGCAGGTGAAG